TGTATGTATGTATGTATGTATAGGGACCAGGTTTTGGTTTTTCTTTGATTAGCTAGTTGCTCAGACTCTCCTACAGTACATGTAAGTTTGGTGTTCCAATATTGAAGCTGAATAACCGAGAACACGACTGGGGAACCTAGTTGGTAATGCGATTTCCGAGAAGTCTCTGAGGAGCCAGACGAAAGTCAGATGAGCTAGATGGTCCCTCAGCAGTTTCAATCAAATCCTCTTTCCCTACCACGACACCACTATACATCCAGAAGTCGAAAACCCCCCCTGCAGCTCCAAGCCCCAAGACCCCTAATCCCTACACCTTCTACTTTCTGGTGCTCGGAGCTTCTCAGTTCGAAGGGCACAGGTGTCGGGAGTTTTTGGGACTCGTCTAGGCTGACCATGTCATGGTCTAGAGCCTAGGGATGGGATGAGATCTTAGTTCGGATCTTAGAGGAGTACTCCTGACGCCTGTTCTGCTCTGGCCATTTCTGGCCACACCGTGGCTTTCCGTGTGTTTTTCCCCGACACCGGCCGAATCTTCGGGCCCGGGTCATCGAGAACAGCTTGTCTATGTCTACGATGCTTACGTGTGAATCCGTGTTTTTGGTGGGGTGGTTGTGAGTTTGACCACGGGCCATACGTAGCACGCTGCCGCGCTTCAGGGCGATGGCATGCAGATTTCTGCACAGGTGTGGCATGAAACATGCACACTTTGGCATCGCCGCGAACTCGATTAAAAAGCCTCTCAGTTCAAGGCAGCCGAGTCCCTTCAGGGATCTGGGGCGCTTGGGGTTTCAGTAGTGTGCTTCAATGCTAAGTGACGCTTTTCGCACCCGCCTTCTCATGGATTTGGCTGTTCATGGCAGTTTTAATAGTCCCTAATTTACATCCTAGCACTTGACTCGGGATGTCACGTTCAGCGAGTTCCTAGGTGGTCATGCGAGCATCAGGTGCTTAGGACTTAGGGACGGGCTTTCGGATTTCGAGCTCCCGAAACCCTCAACTTATCCCGAACGCCTGCATCCTAAACCCCTTAAACCCCTAAACCCCGAAGCCTCGACATTGACTAAGGTCTTCAGCTGGACATTGAGCGCTTGAAGGGCGAAGTGGGCGCCGCCGAGGCGAGGGCCAGGGGTTCAATGCGAGACTATCCAGCCTTGCCAATCCTCATAGTTTTTTTCAGATAGTCTTAATCATATTTCATCTAATGTTTATAAGTCGGACTGCGGGTATTAGGGTTTAAGATTACTACCGGTGTTTCCCCAACAGTTTCCCTTCCACCCTCTAAACCCTTAACGGCAAACTCCCAACACCCAAAACCCTAAACCCTCAAGTTTTCTGATGCTTCGATGAAAGCCCTAGACCTCAAAACCTAAACCCGAAAGCCTCAAGGCCTAAACCATCAACCCTAAACCTCAAACTCTAAACCCTCAGCCCTAAAACTCAAACCCTAAACCCTAAACCTCAATCTCTAAGCCCTGAGCCCTAAACCTCAAACCCTAAACCCTAAACTCTAGACAATCACCCCCCCCCACAAAGCCGTGCTCTCCCCGGAGGCGGAGCTGCGCAAAGCTCGAGCTCACGAGGTCTGGGCCGAAGAGAGGTTTACCCGGTGTTCCTTAGGAGCGCTGTTTCACTTTTATGAAAAAAGACATCAGAATATCGCGATGCGTCAGGCAATATAGGATTTTGAGAGAATCGTTTTGCATTTCACGTCAAGGGGGCTTACAACTCAGATGTTTCTGTTTTGCTAGGCTGATAAAGGCTATATATATATATATATGTACACACACATAAGTTTGCACATGCCTACATACGTACATACATACATACATACATACATACAGACAGACAGACAGACAGACAGACAGACAGACAGACATACATACATACATAACGTCCGTACTTATGTACATACATACGTACATA